CTTGGAATCATCCCCTTCACCCCCCAATATGTGCACCCTCCACTCCAGTATATCTCTTCATCCAATATCACCAGCACAAGGTTCAACCGACCCTCGTACCTTCATCGTGGCGGCATGCTCAGCTGTGGAATCATCTGCTCCCAATCTGAAGTAACGACCTAGAGGCGGCATTTTCAGCCCTGAAAGTAGGGTGTTATGGTGATGTTGAATGCACGTCCTTTTGAGTGCATACTATCCTAACATCCTTCTGAGTCCATGCTATCCTAACGTCCTTCTGAGTGATATCCTAACGTCATGCTGAGTGACCATGTAATTCATGCTTGCATTGTTTGCATGAACAGAACTTATAACACATGACTGCTGGATATTATCATCTCTGTGTTTTCTCCAATTCAATATGCTCGATCATCCACTAGAGATTCAGAGCGTTCCAACGATACCAAGATCGTCATATTTTGATCAGGAGAGCATAAGTCATCAATTCTATCTCATTTAGAATATCGTATAATTTGGTTGTTTTGTTGGGCACTACTAGATGGTTGATTGGGTGGTTAGGAAGGTACACCTTGACTTTTAGATTGGGGTGCCTAGATATTGTTTAACATGGCTCGCAATGTTGCAATACGTAGACAAAATCAACACATAGATTATATTTTGCATGTGACACAACAAGAACCTCATGATGAGGGTTGCATATTTGCCACTTGAAGGTTCTTATCATCCTTCCCTAGCTCTTGGAGAGCTCTTTCTCTCAAAAACATTCTCTCGGAGCCCCCCACTCCAACTCTTCACTCTTCCGTACTATATGGGAAGTTGTGTGGCAGCGGTGTTTGTTGGCTGTGCTGGGGGAGGAGCAGCGAGGACCTACCCCACTCTATTGTGATAATCAAGGTGCCATTGCACTAGCTAAGAACCCTGTGTTGCACGGCCTCACCAAGCACATGAAGGTGAAATCGCATTGGGTGAGGAGCATGGTGGCCACGGGTGAAGTAGAATTGCACTACGCGAAAACGACGGCACAGCCAACTGGCATGATGACTAAGAGGCTGGTTGAACAGCAGCATTGCAAGTGTTGCAAGCTAGCTGGATGGCATTAAACTGAGGAAAACCATATCCTAAGGCACAATCCGAGGGGGAGTTTGTTGGTGCAACCACATGGTTTTCACTCAGCTTGTTGTTCTTGTGTGTGCGTGTGTGTTTGCATGGAATAGTATGAGAGCATGAGATAAAATAAAATTCCATGCTTATATGAGTGTGTGAATGATGAGTCATGACGTCAAATGTGTGTGTCGAGTCAATGGAGAGTTTTCGCTAGTTGCGTGTTGCGTTGTCGTTTGCGTGTCGTGTGCGTATTCTATTTTGTCCTGTGTCGTACATTTGGCATGTTGAAGGCGTTTGCAGAAAGCCTTGAACAACTCAAGGAAGAACTAGACCCAGAGCATTGGTTTCAAGTTCCAATTCATTTCGGAGCTCACCAAAAGGATAAACATAAACATAACAAAAATAGTTACATTGCATTGTGTAGTGTAATAATTATCTTGGTATATGCCTTTGTGGTAGGTGGCTTCCACACCGAGGTTGGGGAGGCACTGTTCCACCTCCCTGGGCCTCGACTTTTGGAGTTTGTAGAGGCTGGGTGTTATGAGTTGTGAAAGAGTAGTGTGCGCAGAATTCAATAACGAGAATGTGAGTACTACTAATTGAGCAGATGACGAAGCCTATCAAAGATTTAGCGGAAAGCCTAGCTAGTCAGGGACCTCGGGGTAGCGAGGTTGGGTGCTGATTCGGGGTTTGTCAAGCCCGAAGGCGACGCAGGTTACGATCGGGAGGCGAGGTTGTCGAGCCGAGCCTGGTCTTCCGAAAGTTGGAGTTGTACGCGTAAGGAATTAGAAAGAAATCTTACACTGGGAGTCATTCCCAACTCGAACTTTTTTCTATTTTGTATCCTAAGCCTATAGTTACTGCTAGACCACCGTTCGCTCAAACTACTCTCATGTCATTAGATCTTCATTAAATCGGGTGACTCAGCTTGCTGATTCTAGAGACACCAAGAGGCTCTAGATGCAGTTTATAGCAAGTTATTTGATGCAGACTGCTTTCAATGTTTGAAGCCGCTCCGCAGAAAACCGTGTGTGCACTCCATCTTTCGTTTTAGGCACATTTGAGCCTATTATGACTTTAACAAGAACCTCATGATGAGGGTTGCATCTTTGAGGCTAGAAGGTTCTTATTATCCTTCCCTAGCTCTTGGAGATATCTTTCTCTCACAAATTACTCTTGGAGTCTCCCACTCCAACTCTTCACATCAAGGACCTTTTGGGTGATGCTGAATCTAGCTCCAAGGCTTGAAATAAGCTTTTGGGTATGCACTCACCGACACATGCTACCGGCACTGTGCTTCTTGCGAAGCGCCTGCACGACATCAAGACCATTCATGGAGAGAAGATGCAACCAGTGTTGGATGAGATGCACGACATCTTCATGAAGGTCCAAGGTGGTGTGAAGAAGTTAACGGAACAATGAATGAGTTAGAAATGAACAAACAAAGGTAGATATAGCTAACTCAAACCCTAACCCTAGCACAGATGTATAACACCTAGACTATAACATACAAACCATATAAAATATAGTTTGAACAAGTACGAGTACGAGCCGCGGTGTGGGCAGTAGTACGGGATGCAGTACGAGCGGCAGTACGACAGTAGTACGGACGGCAGAACAGAATGTGGTACGGGCAGTAGTTCGGATGGCAGTACGAGCGGCAGTACGGCCAGTAGTACGGACGTCAATTCTGGCGGTGGTACGAGCGGCAGGACGGGCAGTAGTACGGACATCAATACGGGCGGCAGTACGGGTGATAGGAGTCGGTGGGGTGCGACTGAGAGCAGCCAGCGGCGGTTAGGATCGGTTGGGTGCGGTTGGGTGTGGTCTAGTTTGGGCACAGCGGCGGGCCAGTGAGGGACGGGCGCCGGTGAGGGAACGGGAGCGGGCGGCGGGAACAAGAGCAGGGCGCGTGCGGGGTGCGGTCTAGGTGGGGCACGATGGCGAGCTAGGGAGGGACGGGCGGCGGTAGGTCAAGGGATACGGGCGGCGGTGGGCTAGGGAGTAACGGGAGCGGGCGGCGAGAGCGGGGTGAGTGCGGGGCGCGGGCGGCATACGGGCTGGCGGGGCACTGACGGGGTGCAGACGAGGTGCGAACGGGGCGCGGGCTAGGCACGAACGAGGTGCGGGGTGCAGAGTAGGGCGTGCGGACGGCCTGCAGGGTGCGGGGTGTGGGTGGGCGACGGGGTGGACGGGGAAACGGGGCGCGACGGGCGACGAGGTGCGTACGGGGGGGGTCGGGGAGCAAGTGGGGGACGGGGTGCATACGGGGGGGACAGGGCGCGACGAGCGACGGGGTGCGTATGGGGGGACAAGGCGCGACGCGCGACGGGGTGCGTACGGGGGGGCGGGGGGGGGGGGAGGGGGGGGGGGGGGGGGGGGGGGAGGGGTGTGTACGGGGGGACGGGGAGCGACGGGCGATGGGATGGGTACGGGGGGTGGACGGGGCTCGACGAGCGACGGGGTGCGTGCGAAGGGACGGGGCGCGGCGGGCGATGGGGTGCGTACGGGGGAACGGAGCGCAACGGGTCTACGGGCTGCGAGCTATGGGGCGCGTCGGGCTACGGGGCGTACGGGCTACAAGCGACGGGCGGGTCTAGGGCGGGGCGCGAGGCGGTGGGCCCATGGGATCGAAAAATCGCTCTATACCATATGAAAGTAAGAACTGAAGAAAGAGTGACTAGAATGACAGCGAACAAGGGTAGATATAGCAATCCCTAACAATGCTAGGACAAAATGTGTAACACCTGGACTAGAACAACTAAAACATATGAAATATAGTCTCGCATCAGCAGCAGCAGGAGAAGCAGTAAAGGTGGAGAGGTGGGGTAGAGCACACCCCTCAAAGAGATGAGGAACGACTGCAGCAGTAGCGGAGGCAACAAAACGGAGGTTACTCTCAATCTCATGAGTTCGATGGTAAGCTCAGTATGGTGCTTCTTAAGAAGCGCGCCGTGTGCAGACGAGAGGCGGTCAGGGGGGCGCGTGACGATGAAGTAGAGAGTGACAAACAGAGGCGAGGGGTGGCTAGAAATATAGGCAATGGAACAGGCAGCACGATAGCTAGTGTCGAGTGAGCGCAGGTGAGTGACTAGGTCAGCAGTAGAGGCAAACGCAGCAAGGTCTGGAAAGAAGAACGCCATGAGTTGGCATCCTGGGGTGGCAGAGGAAGGAGTGGAATAGCGAAAAACGATAGCATTATAGCACTCCTCCGCAGACGTGACCTGGCTGAAGTAGACACACTCGGCCGGCGGGAGGAGGCTGCTGAGAGCGATGCGAGCAGCAATGTCGCGGGACTCGCGGACTGAGAACTCCGAGCGCCGCCTAGCAAACGTCTCCCGGTCCGCCTCTATGAGCTCAGTACCGAGCGGTGTGGGACACTGAGGGGCAGGCAGATCACTCGACTTGTGGGCGAAGAAATTTTCACCACCCTGGCACAGGCTACGGAGATGGAGCTGAGCGTGCAGCAGCCACGTGCTGAAATCTATTGCTCGGCCATCTGCGTCGAGACGCAGAACTCTGTCGGACGCCATGGCAAAAGCTAGTTGGAACTAGGAACGGCTGGCTAGGCACGGCGAGCTAGCAATTCTAGGCTAGGAATGGCGGGCTCGGAAACGCCAAGCTAGGAATGGTGGGCTAGGAACGCCAGGCTTGGAACTACGGGTCAGGAACAGCAGGCTATGAACGGTGGACTAGGCACGGCGGGCTAGGAACTTCGGTCTAGGCACTAACCCTAAACCATAAATTGCGCCAGTAGGAGTGACCACGCCTGCCAGCCGCTGCTAGGAGTGTCAATGGCAAGAGACTGGTGCGTGAAGGCGGTCGCGGGTGGGGCATGTCGAGCACTGGTAAGGTAGTGGTGTGCGCTGCGAGCGCGTTGGCGGTTAGTACTGCTGGCGATGCTGGCGGCGCATGCACGGACGGGGCGCGCTGTAGGTGTGAATGTGCGCGTATGGTGCTGGCGCGCACATTGCAGTGCGGGCGCTCGCGTTGTGGCAGCGCGCGGCGCTGCGATGCGCACTGTTGTGGCGCGTGCTGCTGGGGCTCGCGCTGCGGCGGTGCGCGCTGCTGTGGCGCGAGCTGCGACGGTGCACACTGCTGTAGCGCGTGCTGCTGCTGTACGCGCTGCTGTGGCAGTGCGCACTGCTGTCGCGGTACGCGCAGTTGTGGCGGTGTGCGCTGATGTGGCGGTGCGCGCTGCTACTATGCGTGCTTTTGTGGTTGTGCGCACTACAGCGCGCGCTGCTGCACTGCATGCTGCTGTGGCGTGCGCTCCTGCTGTGGCGTGCGCTGTTGCTGTGCGCGCTGCTATGGCGTGTGCTGCTTCTGCGCGCGCTGCTGTTGCGGGCGTGACGGCTAGCTGGCGGGCGGCGATACGGCTGGTTGGCTGGCTAGCAGGCAGCGCACTGGCTGGCTGACAACGGCTTGCTGGCTGGCTGGCTGACTGGCTAGCGGGCATCGCGCTGGCTGGCTGGCTAAGGCTGGCTGGCTGGCTAGCGAGCAGGGCGCTGGCTGGCGGGCAGGCTAGGAGCTAGGATCTAACCTACGATGATACCATGTAACAAGTAGAAACAGAGGTATGAGAATGAACTAGCAGGAGGGTGATACAATTTGAAAACCCTAGCATGCAAAAGAGTGGTACTTACTAAACAGCAACTCAATCTAGTCTAAAACTAACATATATATAATTTGACAAGTGACTAGGTCAGCAGTAGTGGAAAACGCAGCAAGGTCTGGAAAGAAGAACGGCATGAGCAGGCGTCCAAGGGTGGCAGACGAAGGAGTGGAATAGCGAAAAACGATAGCGTCAAAGCACTTCTGCACAGACGCGACCTAATCGAAGTGTATACACTCGGCCGGTGGGAGAAGGTTGTTGAGAGCTACGCGAGCAGCAGCATCGCGAAACTCCTAGATCGAGTACCCCGAGCGTCGCGGAGCAAACGCCTCCCGTTCGGCCTCACTGCGCTCAGCAGGGAGGGGTTTGGGACGCGGAGGGGCACGCAGGTCACCCGACGTGTGGGCGAAGAAAGTGTCACCGTCCTGGCGCTAGCTCCGGAGGTGGAGCTGGGCATGCAGCAGCCACGTGCAAAAGTCTATCGCGCGACCCTCTGCGTCGAAACGCAGAACTCTGTCGGACGCCATGACGAAAGCTATCTGGAACTAGGGTGGAATGGCGTGCTAGGACCGGCACGCGAGCTAGGAACGGCTGGCTAGGAACGGAAGGCTGGGAACGAAGACTAGGAACGACTGTGTGAGAGTACGACGGCTTATGCTTGCTTATTATGCTATATCTAGCTTGGGTTTTATTTATCATGCATAGTTATGCTTGATTTCCTAGGTTATGTGCATTCCTATATGTTATTATAGTTATAGCACCGAACCAGGTTACGTGTACCGAACTCAAGCCTATTCGGTTTCCACCGAATTGCTTTCTACCGAGTTCGGGAAGGTTCTGTTCGGGACGCTTCGCGACCCTCAGAACATTCGCGTAACACTTGGGTTACCTGCCTTGTGTCGAGCCTATATATAGCCTCGTGTTGTACCCAGGTGGATCATTGAATTAAAACTTTCTTTTCTGAGCTCGATCCTAGATCCTCAGACTTGGTAATCAGAGCCGCTTACACGCGAAGTTTTTTCGACCACTAAAACCGAGTCTTCAAAAACCGCGGGGGCGACGACTGTTAAACACCGATTTCGGGTACGTAAACCCGGTTCACTGCTTTTTCACTCCCCCTCGTTTTCGGTTTTCGGACGTGCAATGTCAGGGATGGAAGGTCAAGGCGACAATTACGCGACCACCCACGACATCGCCAGCCTTCGCACCGACGTGGAACAGATGCATGCGGCGATCAGGCGAATCGAAGCCCTCCTGACAAACCAATCGGTACCCGCCACAGCAGCAGTCAATGCAGCAGCGAACGTAGCAGCGACAGCAGCGGCGACACCGACAATTCACGGACCGGTGGTGCCACCCTCGCCAAACCTCGAAGCAGCTCGCCCGAGGCTCCTCGAAGCGTTCGATCCAAGCGTGAAGGGATCGGACGTTCGTCGATTTGTGGCTTCCCTCAAAATTTACTTCGAGGACATTGGCTGTTCGACCCCGACACACGATGCAGCAAGGATTCGGCTCGCAGCGACACTGTTGCGTGGACCAGCAGTCTAGTGAATTTACTACAGTGACGTGGCCCGCGGGGAGAAAACGTGGGCGCAGTTTCGGGCAGACCTCATCGAACGTTTCGAACCGATAAATTCAACATACATGGCGCGGCAGCAGAGACACCGATATAAACAGTACGGGAGTGTAGCACAGTACACGCAGCTGATGGAGCAGCTTTTGAACCGCATCATCGACCTGACCGAGGGCGAAAAAATCCAAGCGTATACGGAAGGGTAAAAAATGGAGATTCGCCGACAGGTTATTGCAGCGAACTACAGTAACTACCGCGACCTCGTACGTGCAGCCGAGCGATACGACGCATTGACTTGTGGTCAACCCGAAACACGACGCTACGGGCCGAACCGTACATTTGGCACGGAGCGATCGGCACCCCCCACGTTCGCCGAACCGATGGATATCGACAGATTTGACGCGAAGCAGCAGCCAACAAAATGCGATTTTTGCGGCGCAGCCAGACATCAAATCCTGTCGTGCTACAAAATGAAAAAGGCACGTGCGGCATTGCTGGGCGGCAACAGTACAGCACCCCCGAAGTAAAAAAACGGGAATCGCCAGTAGCCGCGGATCGACCCGGCGATCGCGTAAAGATCCGAAATGGAAAAAAGGGCGACGACGTGGCGACTTCGGAGCAGGCGAAAAAAGGAGAAATTGATGGCGCGAATATAAAACGTCACGACCGGCCGGCAACAGGGGAAATCGCTGAGGCGAATGGAGGCTCCGCGAAAAAAGACTCTGCACCGACCGGGAAACTCCAGCCGAACACCCACGAAAGTAAGAATTCGTTAAAGTTATCCTACAAAGATACTTTAACAAAGAATATTACTTCTCGTGGTTTTCAAGCCTTTGAGAAATCCAGGGGAGAGCTAGAGGCCAAGAAAAATCCTTTAGAGATTATTCAGGTACCTGAGAAGTTGGGCAAAGTATTGCGGAGCGTAGAAAAGGGTCGTGCGTTCCGTGGAGTTAATATTCTCTCCCAGCAGCACAGTGTTAAGGCTCCCCGTTGCCCACAGGTGAAGCCTACACAGCTGCAAAGGCTTAGAGGAAAATTCCAGGCTCAGGAGAAGTTGATCAAGCCTCGGAAAAATCCTCCTACCCCCCAGGTGAAGTTAGAAGTGAAAAGTGCTGAGTCAGGTGTAGGAAATAGGGATGGTAATATCTTTGATGTACCCTATGATCCTATCAATGAGACCCTCTTTGGCTACTCAGTGCAGCAGGAACCACTACTCCTCGAGGTGTTATGCAAAGGACGACGCCTCCAGGCACTGGTGAACAGCGGTGCATCTCACTCATGAGTGACCGCGGGACGTTGGAGAAAATTGGAGAACCTTCGGAGGAGACCAAGTTCACGGCAACGATGGTGGACGGTACGAAACTTCCCATCCACAGCGAAGCATCACTGCAGCTGCACATAGGGGCGCTGAGGTGGAACCCGACGTTGCCGATCACGAACATCAAGGGTTTAGATTTCATCTTGGGGCGAGATTTATTGAAGCGGTTCAACCCCGAGATCGACTGGGTCAACAGGAAGGCATGCATCTACAACAACGGGAAACGAGTGGAGCTGAGAAGCTGGACGGATACAGGGAACGTTCCTGAAACGAAACTGGCACGGTTCGAACGGACGGTGAACGAGAGTAACACGGGTTACCTAGCACTGGTGATGGCAGCAGCAGAGGAGGAGAAGCCGAACGCAGAGCTACGTGCAGCAGTGAAGGAGGTCTTGGAGCAGTACAATGATATAATGCCCGACGACCTACCTGCAGGCGTACCTCCAGCACGCACCCACGAGCACGAGATCGTGGAGAAACCAGGTGCGAAACCCGTCTCACGTGCACCATACCGACTGAGTCCGACCGAACTGACAGACATGAAGAAGCAGATAGAGTATCTACTGGACAGACAACTGATCCGCCCATCCACCTCTCCCTACGGTGCACCAGTTCTCTTCACTCCAAAGCCAGACGGCAGTTTACGGATGTGCATCGACTACCGCGCACTGAACAAACAGACAGTAAAAAACAAATATCCCATACCGCGCATAGACGACCTACTGGACCAACTGTGTGGTGCAACAGTCTTTTCGAAGCTGGACCTACGTTCGGGTTACTGACAGATCAAGATGGCGGACAACTCAATTAACAAGACGGCGTTCCGTACCAGATACGGCTCCTACGAATACTTGGTGATGCCGTTCGGACTCTGCAACGCACCAACGACGTTCCAGGCAGAGATGAACCATATCCTACGGCCCCTGCTGGACGAGTGCGTAGTGGTGTACCTGGACGACATACTCATCTACTCCAAGAACATGAAGGAGCACCTGGAGCATCTGCGGAAGGTGTTCGAGATCCTACGAAAAAACAAGTTCTACGTGAAGCTATCTAAAAGCAACTTCGCCCTGAAGAAGGTGCAGTTTCTCAGGCACATGGTGAGTGCCGAGGGCGTACACGTGGACCCGCGGAAGATCGAAGCCGTTAAGAAGTGGAAAGTACTGGAGAACGTGAAGGAGTTGCAGCAGTTCCCAGGCTTCGCGAACTACTACAACAGGTTCGTGCCACAATAGCAGCACCACTGACCGACCTACTGAAAAAGGACACACCCTACAAATGGGATACTCCTCATCAGCAAGCCATGGAGCAGCTACAAACAGCACTGACTACAGCACCAGTACTCATCCTACCGGATCCAGACAAGGACTACGTGGTGGAAGCAGACGCTAGTGACCAGGCAGTCGGAGCAGTACTGATGCAGGATCACGGACACGGTTTGCAGCCCATCGCCTACCTCAGTAAGAAATTACACGGACCAGAACTGAACTACCCCATCCATGATAAGGAAGCCTTAGCAAGAGTCATAGCCTTCAAGGCGTGGAGGTGTTACCTAGAGGGAGCCAAGACTACAGTCTATACTGACCACTGTAGTCTCAAATACCTGAAGTCGCAGCCGACGCTCTCACGACGACAGGTGCGGTTGATGGACTTCCTGGAAACTCACTTTCACTACGTCATCATCTACAAGCCCGGGCTACACAACAAAGCAGACGCGTTGAGCCGCCCCGGTCATGTAGCAGGCATCCAGCTCGACGGGATGAACCCTCTGCTCAAGGGTCTATTCCAACATGGATATTCCGTGGACGTAGAGATCGCTACAGCAGGGAAACAGAAGCTGTTACAGTGGGAGAAAGACTTAGCTGTAAGGAAGGGTTCAGGAAAGATTTGGGTACCGAACTATGCCCCGCTACGGCAGATCCTACTAGAAGAGTTTCTCGACGTACCATACGCGGGACATTTCGGGAGCAACAAGACGTTAGCAGGGATAGCGAAGTATTACTACTGGTCCGGGATGGCAGCAGACGTGCAGCAGTTCGTCACCTTATGCGACACGTGCCAGCGGATGAAGAGTAGCAAGCAGTAAAAAGCATGGTTACTTCAACCTCTACCCGTACCGGAGCAGCCATGGCAAGTCGTTAGCCTCGACTTCATCACGGGACTTCCTTCGACCTCACGAGGGCATGACGCTATACTCGTGGTGATCGACAAGTTCTCTAAAATGGGTCACTTCATCCCGACCAACGCCACGGCTACAGCTGAAGCAACTGCTCGGCTCTTCTTCGACCGCATCATCACCAATCCATGGCATCCCTGTTACACTCATCTCAGACAGAGACCCAAAATTCACCAGTAAGTTTTGGAAGGAACTCATGGGATTGCTGAGGACTAAACTTGCGATGTCTTCAGCATACCACCCCCAGACAGACGGACAGACAGAGCGACTCAATCAGGTGGTTGAACAGTTACTGCGCACAGCTTGCAAAGACGACGTCAGCCACTGGGACACACAGTTACCGACCCTAGAGTTCGCTTACAACAACGCGTCACATGCGGCCACAGGGAAATCTCCTATCTTCCTGTGCTACGGACGAGAACCACTTACACCACAGCAGCCAACCACACCGGCACACGTCCAAGCCGCACATGACTTCGTCACCACCATGCAGCAGCTATGGGAGAAGACCCAGCGACGTCTCATCACGATGCAGACCTCCCAGAAGCAGTATGCCGATCGCCAGCGACGTGATCACTCAGTAGCAGTCGGAGATCAGGTGCTTCTCGACACGCGCAACTTGAACCTGTCTCACATACCATCCAAGCTTCAGCCTCGCTTCTGTGGTCCTTTTCACGTTGAGGCACAGGTGACACCAGTAACATTCCGCTTGCGTTTACGTACTACGTGGAAGCTTCACAACGTTTTCCATGTTCAGCTACTGAAGCCCTACAAGGACCCCAACCAACAGTTCCAGGGACGGTAGCTACCGCCACCACCACCTGTTCTCATAGAGGATGAACCAGGGTACGAAGTGGAGCGCGTGCTCACTCATCGGCGCCGCGGCGGCAAGACCCTCGAGTTCCTGATACGCTGGAAGGGTTATGACCTTACAGAGGACTGTTGGGTTGCAGAAGCTGATCTGGGCAACGCACGCCGTGCTCTCAAGGACTATCTTGTCAAGCAGGGTGTATCTCACGCCACCCAGCTTTGAGGGGGGGGCGTGTGAGAGTACGACGGCTTATGCTTGCTTATTATGCTATATCTAGCTTGGGTTTTATTTATCATGCATAATTATGCTTGATTTCCTAGGTTAGGTGCATTCCTATATGTTAGTATAGTTATAGCACCGAACCAGGTTACGTGTACCGAACTCAAGCCTATTCGGTTTCCACCGAATTGCTTTCTACCGAGTTCGGGAAGGTTCTGTTCGGGACGCTTCGCGACCCTCAGAACATTCGCGTAACACTTGGGTTACCTGCCTTGTGTCGAGCCTATATATAGCCTCGTGTTGTACCCAGGTGGATCATTGAATTAAGACTCTCTTTTATGAGCTCGATCCTAGATCCTCACAGACTGGCTAGACATGGCGGGCTAGGAACGGCATGCTTGGAACGGCGGGCCAGGAACGGCGGTCTAGGAATAGCGGGCTAGGCACGGCGGGCTAGGAACAGCAGGCTAGGAACGGCGGTCTAAGAACGAACCCTAAACCCTAAACTGCGCCAGAAGGAGTGATCGCGGCTGCCATGCGCTGCTACGAGTATCAATGGCGAATGACTGGTGCGTGATGGTGGGCGATGGCCGAGCGTGCTGCTGGCGGTTTGACATCGTGCACTGGCGGAGCGTGCTGCTGGCGGTTTCTGCGGGCCGTGCACGCTGCCAGTTTGCTGGCGGCTGGCGCTGGCTGTGCTCGTTGGCGGCAGCTTGCGCTGGCGGTGCGTGCTGTTGGCGGCCTACACAGGCGGGGCACGCTGGCGGCAGGAGGGGCTCGGCTGGCTGGGGGGAGGGGCGCGCAGGCATGTGCACGCCAGGGCTAATTTTTCATTTTTAGGTTCCCTGATTATCAGCCCTGTAGTTTTTGAAACCCTGATTATCAGTCTGCGCCATTGTCCTTACTCTGATCCATCAGGGTTTTCATTTTCTTTTCTTCAAAAGTCATGTATGCTCTGAATCCCATTTCTGTTTTTTATTTGGTCCCCCGTTAGAGGAGGGATGCGCCTTCCTCAGAGTTAGTGCAATACTGAGGCGACGCTCGCAGGGCCGACCAGCAAGCTGGCCATTGGCACCTGCTCCCAAAAGAAATTAATTTAATATCATGTGGACCGATGGTCCACGTATCAGATATTAAACTGATAAGAACAGATACTACACTTGATCTTAGCCAAAAGGCCGAGAAAGGTATGCCTGGAACGAGCGCACGTTTTGTGTTTATTTACCGCCTTTGCAGTGTCAAATTCGTGTTTCATGGGCCTTACCGATTTTGGGTTCCTTCATCCTGGTGCCACGTGTGCAGTGTGGGTTTCAGTGTCGAAGTTCAACTTCGGAATGAGCCACATACGAGATAGGATGCGCGGTATCGCTCAACACACACATGCAAACTGGGTTGACCTAGGGCGCCTGGGAGGGAGAAATGAAAACAGAAGAAAACCTCCCCGTCGATCCGACTGTGCGCGAGATCGTCGGACGACGCCCAACTATCCTCTCCACCACCCCGCAGTACACCTTTATGCAGCCCAGCATGGCCCCCAACCCTCTATCCCCACGCGATTTCCATGCCATCTATGCGTTTTCTCCACGTGTCGCGTCATGGCTTTCGATAGCTGTACCCGTTTGTGCCGTGGCGTCGACCTTCGTGTTCCTCCCAGCACCCCTACTGTAATCCCCATGGTTCCCCGCCGGGCCCTCAAAACCCGCGCCCCTCGTCATAGTACCGCCTCCGCCGCACCACTCGAGTCGCCCTCCGCGCGCCCAGCGCCTCTCAAGCTTCCGCGCGCCGTTCAGCGCAACGCCATCCGCCCCGCGCCCGACGCTGCCGACGCGCGAAGCTGCTGACGCGGCGCCGCTCGACGCTGCCGACGATGCGACGCTCTACGCGCGACTTGGATAGGAAAGCTGACTGCCGGAAAGGGGTCGAGCTGGGAGCGAGCAGCCTTGGGAGGCTGGATTCACAAGAAGGCTGCAAATGCGCAGCGAAGGCTGCATATAAGCAGCGACGAGGAGTGAGGTGCATGCAACGACGACAAGTGGGGTGCAGAGAATCGGTTCTCGCATCCCCTCCCCACCCTCTCATCCCCTCCCCACCCTCTCATTCCCTCCCCACCCTCTCATTCCCTCCCCACCCTCTCATTCCCTCCCCACCCTCTCATCCCCTCCCACCCTCTCATTCCCTCCCCACCCTCTCATTCCCTCCCCACCCTCTCATTCCCTTCCCACCCTCTCATTCCCTCCCCACCCTCTCATCCCCTCCCCACCCTCTCATTCCCTCCCCACCCTCTCATCCCCTCCCCACCCTCTCATTCCCTCCCCACCCTCTCATTCCCTCCCCACCCTCTCATTCCCTCCCCACCCTCTCATCCCCTCCCACCCTCTCATTCCCTCCCCACCCTCTCATTCCCTCCCCACCCTCTCATTCCCTTCCCACCCTCTCATTCCCTCCCCACCCTCTCATCCCCTCCCCACCCTCTCATTCCCTCCCCACCCTCTCATCCCCTCCCCACCCTCTCATTCCCTCCCCACCCTCTCATTCCCTCCCCACCCTCTCATTCCCTCCCCACCCTCTCATTCCCTTCCCACCCTCTCATTCCCTCCCCGCCCTCTCATTCTCTCCCCACCCTCTCATCCCCTCCCCACCCTCTCATCCCCTCCCCACCCTCTCATTCCCTCCCCACCCTCTCATTCCCTCCCCACCCTCTCATTCCCTCGCCACCCTCTCATCCCCTCCCCACCCTCTCATTCCCTCCCCACCCTCTCATTCCCTCCCCACCCTCTCATTCCCTTCCCACCCTCTCATTCCCTCCCCACCCTCTCATTCCCTTCCCACCCTCTCATCCCCTCCCCACCCTCTCATTCCCTCCCCACCCTCTCATTCCCTCCCCACCCTCTCATCCCCTCCCCATCCTCTCCTCCCCTCCCCACCCTCTCATTCCCTCCCCACCCTCTCATCCTCTCCCCACCCTCTCCTCCCCTCTCCACCCTCTCATTCCCTCCCCACCCTCTCATTCCCTCCCCGCCCTCTCATTCCCTCCCCACCCTCTCATCCCCTCCCCACCCTCTCATCCCCTCCCCACCCTCTCATTCCCTCCCCACCCTCTCATCCCCTCCCCATCCTCTCCTCCCCTCCCCACCCTCTCATTCCCTCCCCACCCTCTCATTCCCTTCCCACCCTCTCATCCCCTCCCCACCCTCTCATCCCCTCCCCACCCTCTCATCCCCTCCCCACCCTCTCATTCCCTCCCCACCCTCTCATTCCCTCCCCACCCTCTCATTCCCTCCCCACCCTCTCATTCCCTCCCCACCCTCTCATCCCCTCCCCACCCTCTCATCCCCTCCCCCCCCCCCTCATCCCCTCCCCACCCTCTCATTCCCTCCCCACCCTCGCATTCCCTCCCCACCCTCTCATTCCCTCCCCACCCTCTCATTCCCTCCACACCCTCTCATTCCCTCCCCACCCTCTCGTTCCCTCCCCACCCTCTCATCCCCTCCCCACCCTCTCATCCCCTCCCCACCCTCTCATTCCCTCCCCACCCTCTCATTCCCTCCCCACCCTCTCATCCCTTCCCACCCTCTCATTCCCTCCCCACCCTCTCATTCCCTCCCCGCCCTCTCATTCCCTCCCCAACCTCTCATCCCCTCCCCACCCTCTCATTCCCTCCCCACCCTCTCATTCCCTCCCCACCCTCTCATTCCCTCCCCACCCTCTCATTCCCTTCCCACCCTCTCATTCCCTCCCCGCCCTCTCATTCTCTCCCCACCCTCTCATCCCCTCCCCACCCTCTCATCCCCTCCCCACCCTCTCATCCCCTCCCCACCCTCTCATCCCCTCCCCACCCTCTCATCCCCTCCCCACCCTCTCATCCCCTCCCCACCCTCTCCTCCCCTCCCCACCCTCTCATCCCCTCCCTATCGCGGCAATTTCTACGACGCGTGGGATTAAGTCATGCAATTCGTGGCAATTCTTGCAACTCGTGCGAGTCATCTCCAGTCTTCGCCTCTAGTCCCCTCCTGTCTTCCCCTCCCCGTCGTCCCGCACCGATACAATTTCGTGCCGACTCCGGTCACCCTCATACTGAGACGATCAGCTCCCTTCTGTCACCCTCCTGATTTTGTGAAGGATCCGGTTTTTTCAGGGCTAAGACTTCCTTATCGGGCTCCAGCCGCCACGTGTCAGCTGCTGATAGGTCCATCATCTTCTGCTGGTGGGACATGACGGGGCCATCTTCTTTCCTCCCCCTCTTCCCCCCCCACCCCTCTTCTCCCCGCCCCGTTTTTCCTCCTCCTGCTGCCGTCAAAATTCCTGTCGCCACATGGCAGCGCTGGATAGGGCCGTCTTCTGCTAGTGGGCCGTGACGGGGTCGGGCGTTGTGTGCAGCACCGGCGACGCGTTGCTTCTTGATGCGTGCGCGTGTGGGGTGCAAGGGGTGCAAGGACATTGGGTGGAAAGAGCAGCACTGGGCATTGAGTGCAAGGACCTCATGAGCAGCACTGGGCATTGAGTGCAAGGACCTCATGAGCAGCACTGGGCATTGAGTGCAAGGACCTCATGAGCAGCACTGGGCATTGAGTGCAAGGACCTCATGAGCAGAACTGGGCATTGAGTGCAAGGACCTCATGAGCAGCACTGGGCATTGAGTGCAAGGACCTCATGAGCAGCACTGGGCATTGAGTGCAAGGACCTCATGAGCAGCACTGGGCATTGAGTGCAAGGACCTCATGAGCAGCACTGGGCATTGAGTGCAAGGACCTCATGAGCAGCACTGGGCATTGAGTGCAAGGACCTCATGAGCAGCACTGGGCATTGAGTGCAAGGACCTCATGAGCAGCACTGGGCATTGAGTGCAAGGACCTCATGAGCAGCACTGGGCATTGAGTGCAAGGACCTCATGAGCAGCACTGGGCATTGAGTGCAAGGACCTCATGAGCAGCACTGGGCATTGAGTGCAAGGACCTCATGAGCAGCACTGGGCATTGAGTGCAAGGACCTCATGAGCAGCACTGGGCATTGAGTGCAAGGACCTCATGAGCAGCACTGGGCATTGAGTGCAAGGACCTCATGAGCAGCACTGGGCATTGAGTGCAAGGACCTCATGAGCAGCACTGGGCATTGAGTGCAAGGACCTCATGAGCAGCACTGGGCATTGAGTGCAAGGACCTCATGAGCAGCACTGGGCATTGAGTGCAAGGACCTCATGAGCAGCACTGGGCATTGAGTGCAAGGACCTCATGAGCAGCACTGGGCATTGAGTGCAAGGACCTCATGAGCAGCACTGGGCATTGAGTGCAAGGACCTCATGAGCAGCACTGGGCATTGAGTGCAAGGACCTCATGAGCAGCACTGGGCATTGAGTGCAAGGACCTCATGAGCAGCACTGGGCATTGAGTGCAAGGACCTCATGAGCAGCACTGGGCATTGAGTGCAAGGACCTCATGAGCAGCACTGGGCATTGAGTGCAAGGACCTCATGAGCAGCACTGGGCATTGAGTGCAAGGACCTCATGAGCAGCACTGGGCATTGAGTGCAAGGACCTCATGAGCAGCACTGGGCATTGAGTGCAAGGACCTCATGAGCAGCACTGGGCATTGAGTGCAAGGACCTCATGAGCAGCACTGGGCATTGAGTGCAAGGACCTCATGAGCAGCACTGGGCATTGAGTGCAAGGACCTCATGAGCAGCACTGGGCATTGAGTGCAAGGACCTCATGAGCAGCACTGGGCATTGAGTGCAAGGACCTCATGAGCAGCACTGGGCATTGAGTGCAAGGACCTCATGAGCAGCACTGGGCATTGAGTGCAAGGACCTCATGAGCAGCACTGGGCATTGAGTGCAAGGACCTCATGAGCAGCACTGGGCATTGAGTGCAAGGACCTCATGAGCAGCACTGGGCATTGAGTGCAAGGACCTCATGAGCAGCACTGGGCATTGAGTGCAAGGACCTCATGAGCAGCACTGGGCATTGAGTGCAAGGACCTCATGAGCAGCACTGGGCATTGAGTGCAAGGACCTCATGAGCAGCACTGGGCATTGAGTGCAAGGACCTCATGAGCAGCACTGGGCATTGAGTGCAAGGACCTCATGAGCAGCACTGGGCATTGAGTGCAAGGACCTCATGAGCAGCACTGGGCATTGAGTGCAAGGACCTCATGAGCAGCACTGGGCATTGAGTGCAAGGACCTCATGAGCAGCACTGGGCATTGAGTGCAAGGACCTCATGAGCAGCACTGGGCATTGAGTGCAAGGACCTCATGAGCAGCACTGGGCATTGAGTGCAAGGACCTCATGAGCAGCACTGGGCATTGAGTGCAAGGACCTCATGAGCAGCACTGGGCATTGAGTGCAAGGACCTCATGAGCAGCACTGGGCATTGAGTGCAAGGACCTCATGAGCAGCACTGGGCATTGAGTGCAAGGACCTCATGAGCAGCACTGGGCATTGAGTGCAAGGACCTCATGAGCAGCACTGGGCATTGAGTGCAAGGACCTCATGAGCAGCACTGGGCATTGAGTGCAAGGACCTCATGAGCAGCACTGGGCATTGAGTGCAAGGACCTCATGAGCAGCACTGGGCATTGAGTGCAAGGACCTCATGAGCAGCACTGGGCATTGAGTGCAAGGACCTCATGAGCAGCACTGGGCATTGAGTGCAAGGACCTCATGAGCAGCACTGGGCATTGAGTGCAAGGACCTCATGAGCAGCACTGGGCATTGAGTGCAAGGACCTCATGAGCAGCACTGGGCATTGAGTGCAAGGACCTCATGAGCAGCACTGGGCATTGAGTGCAAGGACCTCATGAGCAGCACTGGGCATTGAGTGCAAGGACCTCATGAGCAGCACTGGGCATTGAGTGCAAGGACCTCATGAGCAGCACTGGGCATTGAGTGCAAGGACCTCATGAGCAGCACTGGGCATTGAGTGCAAGGACCTCATGAGCAGCACTGGGCATTGAGTGCAAGGACCTCATGAGCAGCACTGGGCATTGAGTGCAAGGACCTCATGAGCAGCACTGGGCATTGAGTGCAAGGACCTCATGAGCAGCACTGGGCATTGAGTGCAAGGACCTCATGAGCAGCACTGGGCATTGAGTGCAAGGACCTCATGAGCAGCACTGGGCATTGAGTGCAAGGACCTCATGAGCAGCACTGGGCATTGAGTGCAAGGACCTCATGAGCAGCACTGGGCATTGAGTGCAAGGACCTCATGAGCAGCACTGGGCACTGAGTGCAAGGACCTCATGAGCAGCACTGGGCATTGAGTGCAAGGACCTCATGAGCAGCACTGGGCATTGAGTGCAAGGACCTCATGAGCAGCACTGGGCATTGAGTGCAAGGACCTCATGAGCAGCACTGGGCATTGAGTGCAAGGACCTCATGAGCAGCACTGGGCATTGAGTGCAAGGACCTCATGAGCAGCACTGGGCATTGAGTGCAAGGACCTCATGAGCAGCACTGGGCACTGAGTGCAAGGACCTCATGAGCAGCACTGGGCATTGAGTGCAAGGACCTCATGAGCAGCACTGGGCATTGAGTGCAAGGACCTCATGAGCAGCACTGGGCATTGAGTGCAAGGACCTCATGAGCAGCACTGGGCATTGAGTGCAAGGACCTCATGAGCAGCACTGGGCATTGAGTGCAAGGACCTCATGAGCAGCACTGGGCATTGAGTGCAAGGACCTCATGAGCAGCACTGGGCATTGAGTGCAAGGACCTCATGAGCAGCACTGGGCATTGAGTGCAAGGACCTCATGAGCAGCACTGGGCATTGAGTGCAAGGACCTCATGAGCAGCACTGGGCATTGAGTGCAAGGACCTCATGAGCAGCACTGGGCATTGAGTGCAAGGACCTCATGAGCAGCACTGGGCATTGAGTGCAAGGACCTCATGAGCAGCACTGGGCATTGAGTGCAAGGACCTCATGAGCAGCACTGGGCATTGAGTGCAAGGACCTCATGAGCAGCACTGGGCATTGAGTGCAAGGACCTCATGAGCAGCACTGGGCATTGAGTGCAAGGACCTCATGAGCAGCACTGGGCATTGAGTGCAAGGACCTCATGAGCAGCACTGGGCATTGAGTCCAAGGACCTCATGAGCAGCACTGGGCATTGAGTGCAAGGACCTCATGAGCAGCACTGGGCATTGAGTGCAAGGACCTCATGAGCAGCACTGGGCATTGAGTGCAAGGACCTCATGAGCAGCACTGGGCATTGAGTGCAAGGACCTCATGAGCAGCACTGGGCATTGAGTGCAAGGACCTCATGAGCAGCACTGGGCATTGAGTGCAAGGACCTCATGAGCAGCACTGGGCATTGAGTGCAAGGACCTCATGAGCAGCACTGGGCATTGAGTGCAAGGACCTCATGAGCAGCACTGGGCACTGAGTGCAAGGACCTCATGAGCAGCACTGGTCATTGAGTGCAAGGACCTCATGAGCAGCACTGGGCATTGAGTGCAAGGACCTCATGAGCAGCACTGGGCATTGAGTGCAAGGACCTCATGAGCAGCACTGGGCATTGAGTGCAAGGACCTCATGAGCAGCACTGGGCATTGAGTGCAAGGACCTCATGAGCAGCACTGGGCATTGAGTGCAAGGACCTCATGAGCAGCACTGGGCATTGAGTGCAAGGACCTCATGAGCAGCACTGGGCATTGAGTGCAAGGACCTCATGAGCAGCACTGGGCATTGAGTGCAAGGACCTCATGAGCAGCACTGGGCATTGAGTGCAAGGACCTCATGAGCAGCACTGGGCATTGAGTGCAAGGACCTCATGAGCAGCACTGGGCATTGAGTGCAAGGACCTCATGGGCAGCACTGGGCATTGAGTGCAAGGACCTCATGAGCAGCACTGGGCACTGAGTGCAAGGACCTCATGAGCAGCACTGGGCATTGAGTGCAAGGACCTCATGAGCAGCACTGGGCATTGAGTGCAAGGACCTCATGAGCAGCACTGGGCATTGAGTGCAAGGACCTCATGAGCAGCACTGGGCATTGAGTGCAAGGACCTCATGAGCAGCACTGGGCATTGAGTGCAAGGACCTCATGAGCAGCACTGGGCATTGAGTGCAAGGACCTCATGAGCAGCACTGGGCATTGAGTGCAAGGACCTCATGAGCAGCACTGGGCATTGAGTGCAAGGACCTCATGAGCAGCACTGGGCATTGAGTGCAAGGACCTCATGAGCAGCACTGGGCATTGAGTGCAAGGACCTCATGAGCAGC